TATGTGTAGAGAGCTAGATACATATATTTGTGCTCATGGAATATATGTGATTCTAGCAAAGTTTTCCAAATGAATTTGTAAGTTCATATGCAAATATGTACACAAAAAAGTATGTGTAGCTAAACCGTTGTTCTATTTGCAAAATAAGTAAGACCAGATTTTGTGTTTTTCTAAACTGTGATATAATGGAACGATGCAAGCTTTGAATTTAGAGAATCAGGTTTCTAATTTAAGGTTTTACTAGTAACTACTGTAATGTTGAACAAGTCATTATATCCCTGGATGGTAAGCTCCACTAGGGTGAATATGTCCATCTGTTCTATTCATTAGCCAGTACCTGGAAAGGAGTAGTTCCAGACTAAGTGCTGATCACATTTGCCCCATGGATTATGTTTCTCCGTTTTTACAGTTTCCCATCTGTAAGATAACATTCTGCTCAACCTTCACATTCCCAGTTAATGTTAGAGCCCTTACGAACTGAAATAAAGCAGATTCAAAGCTGGAACACTTTATTCAGCTTCTCTCTGGCCATCAAGACTCTTTTCTTTGAATATTTATTAATATGAATTAGACAACCGTTTGGTATCAGTCTGTATGCCATGCTCAATTGGAAGGAGTGAAAAGAAGATTTTAAAAATGTATGAATGAAATTCCAGAAATTAGGTAAATATAAAAGACACATCAGTGACCTCTGAGATTATGGTTTTACCTGGATGTATAGAATTCACACTTTGTTAGCTATTAAGGAGAACTGGTCTATAAATTTTATAACACCTTGTACATATACCCGTTTTTTAAGAAAGTGATATCTCATTTAAAAATACAAACAAATTAATAAATTTTATTTATTTTTAAAGTTTCTTTTTCTCTTGACTCTTGGAACAAATATGTAAGTTATAACAAACATGGGAAATATGTGTTAAGAAATGCAACAAAAATCAGATATTACAGTCTACTTCAGTGTCATCTGGACCTCCAGCTGTGCACAGAGCCCTGACATCTCTGGCAACAGAGCTTCTTGACCCAGAGTCAACAAAGGCATTGAAAAGACAAGAGAGGAAGTCTGGCGCCCGTATGCTGCTGGCAAGACGACGGTACTCCTCACCACCAGAACTTGGAGCTTGCCTTCTGCAGTCACCGGGACCGGTTTTGCTCTGTGCTTCTTCCCGCCTCCTGCGTCACACACATACTTACTTCTTCCACATTCCTGCTTAATGAGACCCTGACTGATTTTTAAACAAAATCCTTAATGCTGTACCCCTATCATTCTCTATCTCCCTTGTACTGCCCTTTTTATTTATTTATTTATTTATTTATTTTGGCCTAGCATGTATTGCCACTGATATTATATCATTATTTGTTCATTGCCTTCTTGTATAAATGCACACTAGAATGTAAGCTCTCTGAAAGCAGGGTGTTTGTCATTCGCCAGTATATCCCCAGTACCCAAAAGAGTTTATAACACAAAGCAGATGTTCAGTAAATATTTGATGGGTTATGGATGAATGGATGAAAAGCTGAACTAAAAAATTTTTACCCTGAACCCCCAAGCTGCTGATCCTTATAACAGTTCCTCCTCCTGTTTCCAGCATTGCCTCACAGTTTAGACTTAAAGTTTGTCCCATTTCTCTATCTGTGATCTTCATTATTTCCAATAAAGATTGGTGTTCCACCCTGGCTTTCTTTCCCCAGACTAACTTGAGTAAGCACTTGTAATTCCACTTGGCTAAGTACTTGGTAATATGCCCAGTGATCTTCCCCATGTCTCAAATGGGATCTAGCCAATATATGAGCATGAATGAAATATTGCTCTGTCACAGTAACTTCATAAATGAGCTGCATTTAAGAAGGAGGCATAGTACAAAATGAAGAAATACAGAACAGCCATACATGAAATTGTTGACTTCAGTAATACACGTGTTCTACAGTGACTTGTCAGGAGAGCAAGACAGATCACAAAGGGCCTCTGGTGGGAACATCCATTTGAATGTTGGTGAAGTATGTATAAGTTGTTATAATGTCTTTATAAGACATTTTAAAATAACCATCAAGATTAGATTCCCATCCTTTCACTAGCACTTCAGCTTTTAGAAATGTATTATATAATAACTCTCCTGTAACAACTGGAAACATCCAAAAGCCTATCGATAAAAATGTGGTTTAATTGTGAACTGTGATACCCTTCGCCATTCCATGGAACAGCGCAGTCATTAAGCAAGGATGAACAGAAATGTGTTTGTATGACATTATATTTAATGGAATGATAAAACCCTTAAAAAGAATGAATATAAAATGTTTGCATTGCATACTAAATGTAAAAATAGTTCCACATTAATATGTGTGATGTGATCCCACAATCAAGTTTATATCACTGTTCTAGATACAGGGGATAGTGGTGAGCAATATGCCCAATATGGCTACCCTTGTAGAAATACATTCTAATTGGAACACAGAAAACAACCATGTAAAGGTTTGATGAAAGTGGAATCAGAGATATGAAGAAAAACAAAGTACAGCAAGGGATCAAGAAGGATGAGGATCAGAAAAAGCCTCCCTAAGGGTTTGAGAGCAGGGCAGAGATCCGAATGGAGCAGGAGATCAAGGCAAGAAAATGAGAAAGGACAGAGAGAAAGTAACAAGGCCTGTGAAGCAGCATGCTCGATGTGATAGGAAACAGGAAGACAGTGTGAGTGGACAGCAGTGATCACATGGAAATGAAAGATAGAAGGTGAGAAGTCCCAGAGGTATCCAGCGGCCGGATTCTGTGGCATTTAGTGGACATTGATAACAATTTGGATTTTCTTTTAACTTTTGAGATGAATCTTTATAAAATCTTGAGCACGAGAGTGACCTGTTCGGATTTATGTCTCTTTGGAATTGCCACGGATATTGCATAGAGGGTATTCTGAGGAGGAAAGGACTAGATGCGGGGAGAGCAGTTGGATGGGTATTGCGTTGGTCCTGTTGAGTGATGCTAGTGGCTTTCAGTGGGTTGGAGCACTGGAGAGAGGTGTAGTGATTGTAATTGTGACATATTTTGAAGGTTAAGTCAAGAGGATTGGCTAATGGATTGGGGATGGGTGTGTTAGAAAGATGAATCAAGATGATTACAAGGTGGTAGGCCCGAGCAGCTCAGTCAGTGGAGGTGCCATCTACTCAGGGAACAGGAGTCTGGCAGTCAGTGGAGACAGAGGTGGAGAGGGAGAGTGTCCTGTTCTGGGTATGTTAATGCTGAAATGTCTGCTAGGTCTCTCACTAAAGTTAATAGACAGTTGGATTAATGTCTCTGGTATAGAGAATGGTTATGACTGGAGACATATATTTGGGAGGCCTAAACCCAAGGCTGAAATCACTTAGAAAGTAATTAGAAAAAAAATGAAATCTTCCAAGAGCTAAACACTAGGGACCTCCTATATCTAAAAGCCTTAAAGTTTCTAACAAGATACTGGGGAAAAGCAACCCATGATAAACTAGCAAAAATGGAAAGTGTGGATCACAGAAGCCAAGTGAAGAAGCATGTATAGATATAAAGAAAACATAGTTCTCAAATTAATTATCATCATCTTCCTTTAGGGGTGAAATTATGGGATACTCAACATTTACTATCTCAAATATTTCAATATTTTATAATATCTATATTGCCTTTGTAATAAAGTCAGAATGAGAAGATTAAGAAAAATAACAACAATAAAAATTTAATAAACATGTTGAATGGGAAGCATCAGCATTGATCTGTATGCATAATCTATTGTATCTTTGATTAGACAGCTTACAAAGAGTCACTGTGACCAAAAATGAGAGGAAAATTAATCTTCCAAATGACTCATCTGAAAGTATACTTATTTACCAGTTTTAGAGTTTATGAGAATTGAGAAGTTTACATAAATTTATGAGAGTACTTCAGGAAGTTAGAGGAAAATAAAGATAAGTTAAATTTGGCACAAAAAGATTTGAAGCCCATGCATATTTTTTTCATAATAAACATTTTCCTTGTACTTTTTAAAGACTCCTCATAGAAATATATGTATGTATGTATGTATATATAGCTTTTTATATATTATTAATGGATACTAAATGACACTATGCAAAATATAGAAGAAAATGAGAGATGCATATAAAATGTATGGATGGAAAAGAGTAACAACTTTTCTAACTTGTCATTATTGCCCACACCTGTAATCAAATGAAAGTTTGAGACTTTGATTTCCATACTATGAACAGAATTCTGGTTTGTGCTTTTCAAAGTGGCTCTAGGAAGTTTCTCTCAACTTAGTGTTTATAGAGGACTGAAATGAAAGTGCTAATCAGCATAATTCAATCAGCATAATTCACAGTGCGAATGGAAGCTCTCCCACTGCCTGTCAGAAATCCTACAGCTGAGTCAATAGAACCTGAGATGGCTATGTAACTTAGAATTAGGGCCCTACTCGTTCTACATAATATATATGCCTTCTTCAATGAGATAGCATGTTAAAATTTTGTTTAAAAAATCAAATGAAATACTGTTAACTTATGTTTAAGAGGATTGCTGATATGTAGCAGTATCAGAACTGTGGTATTTTTCTTACTTGGTTCCAAATGCCTCTTCCTCTTTAAAGGACATGACCTGTTCCTTTAGGTCTGTTTCTGCACATTTGGAAAAATCTAGATTAGGAGAAACCTATTGTATTATCTTTCCATGTAAAATATATCTTTCCAGGCAAAACCAAGATTTGCCTGACATTTTCAGCCGCAATAATATAGTGAGTTTGTTGAGCCTTGGGCAGTCTCTACACCTGTGGCTATGGTGTACCTTCCACCGCTGCACCTCTCAGCCAAAGAACACACTGGGGGAAAACACACAGTTACACAGTTAAGCAGGTGATTCTCTCAGGCCACTGTTTTTCTGATTAAGTTTTTAATTAAATGGAAAGTTAACTATTGCATTAGCAGAATCCATTGGCATTCAGGAGAAAACTGTCTAAATCAGACTTAGTGTTTCTTTTACTCTCTCCTGTCAGAGTCGGGCCACAAGAAGTTAAAAAGCACTATACAGAGAAGCACAGAAACAGGCATGGCGGCTGAAATGAGGAAGATGGTGCGGCAGCCAAGTCGGGAGTCTACAGATGGCAGCATCAACAGTTACAGTTCTGAAGGAAAGTAAGTGCCGTCAACGTTCTAAATGGATGAAGACATGCTGCATTAGTATGGATAAACTGATTTTCATAATCTAGTAAAGTGCAGAATAGTCCCTATTGAACTATAGTGGAAATAGAACATATTTAATGGATTCTGTTGTGTAACAAATTCACCCTCTGGCCCTGTTGCCAAAATCTTTTAAAATTTAGGAGAAACTGGCTGCCCATTTTCCTACTTGTCTCCAAACACTTTGGGACTCTGATTTAAGTAAAACACTCCCATACGTGTAAGCAACTTACATTTGTTTGTTTTGGAAAACATTATCTATTTTTGCCCTTTTTTGCCTTAGGAAATAAAATCCACAATCTCTTCCTCAACATTTTGTTTTTCATTATAGAATTTTAGTTAGTTAAAAAAAAACAGAACTTTCTTGGTTAATTTTTTGCCATTTCCCATGAACCTTGCATAAAATCTGCATTTTGCTAAGCTTGAGAGTTTGCCTGGTAAAACAACTTTGATTGAGGTAGTGGATTTTACAAATAAGGGATTTTATAAATAAGGGATTAAGTGTTGCTGTGAAGATGGGTCTTGTACAGACTTTCCAGAATTATTCACTCATTACCATTCATCTCACTCCAATACTAATCTAAGTAGTCATAATTTGTTTTACTGACATTTTCCTGTTTTGTTTAGAAAATGAATACAATTATGCCAAGTTAGTTTTTAGGGTATTCTTTCCTATTCCTGAAATGAATGATTCCCTGGTGTTTGATCCAGTGATTGGTCTGCATGCTCCCAGCAAGCAGCTAATTACAAATCAGCAGGTAGGAAAGTTATGGAGATGAGCTGGCTGAAAAAGTACTAATGTTTGATGAAGTAGCATGCACAGATCAAAGACTGGAGATGTTTTCTGAGATAATAAGTAGCAAATCCAGTAAAATTTGGATAAGCCACTTAATCACTCATAGATTTTCAGTCTCTGGATGAGAAAAGAATGTCGTCTGTCTTCCTTGGCTGTGAGGAAAGGCTATGCATACAGCACAGTGGAAACAATAAATCCCATTCAACAGAGCTCATTCTAATAATAGTTACTGAATGCTAACTAACCAGCAGGGTCCTTACTACCCAGAGACAGTAATATCAGTGAGCCAGAGGAGGGTTGGATGTCCTGTGTTTGCAAGTTAAGCCGCCACTTGCAATACCCGCATCCTAGTTGGAATGCCTACTTTGAGTCCTGGCTCAGCATTCTGCTGTTGTGTCTGGGAGGCAGCAGATAATGGTCCACATGTACTTGTGTTCCTGCTGCCTACATGAGAGACTGGGATGGAATTCCTTGCTACAGGCTTTGGCCTTACCCAGCCATGGTTTTTGTGGGCATTTGGGAAGTGTGTGTGTGTCAGTCAATTTTTATTTGAACCAAAGTCTCTGGTAATTTAAACACTGAGCTCACTCACAGATGAATAAATTAAACATGTCTCTTTTATAAATAAGAACTGTACAGTGCTATGATATTTATTTAAGAAATTACCACTTAAAATTAGAATTAATATTACCTCTTGTTCATGAGTAATTATCTCTGTAAAGTTTATTATAAAAAATATACTTCTTACGTTTTAGGTCAGCAGTACATTTAGATAAGGATTTAGAATTGGCTCTGTGAATGTCCAGAATGCTAGGCATATTAAAAACTATCACTGGGTGCCCTGGCATACAGCATCAAAACTTCAGTCCAGAGTTTGGACCTTTTCTCAATCCCTGCTGAGTTTCAGGTGCTTGGCTCAAAGGCAATACAGAGAATCGGGAAGAACACACATACCCAAGGAGTATTTCTGTTTCAAGGTCAGAGCTAGTCAAGTAGGATATAAGGCAAAGAATTCTCAGAGATCTAAAGTTTTAGTTTTCTTGGTTCTTGTCCTTTCCCCGATAGCTTAATATTTCCTGGAGTGCGACTAGGAGCGGACAGCCAATTCAGTGATTTTCTCGATGGACTGGGACCAGCCCAGCTTGTTGGCCGGCAAACCCTCGCCACCCCTGCCATGGGTAAGACTCATGTTTTCCCCAAAGACTTTTAAAATAGCGTAATAGTAAGCCAAGTGAGAAGTAACATTTTAGCTAGCGTGCTGCTGCTACATTTTTCTAATTGGCAATATTATACAAAATAAAATTAGTCATAAATCTTGCTTTTCAATTGTATTTATTTACTTTTTATTTTTTAAATTTTTAATTAGTTTTTTACATATTCAATATAACTTGTAGATACAACTCTAACAGCATAATAATATTCTCTACCTCCCTCTCTCTTCCATTCCCCCCTTCCCTCCCTCCATCTTTTTATAGTTTTTGAGATAACTTATTTTAAAATTTCATTAGCGTAAAAAGACTCAATGCTTCACCAAATAAAAAGTTTAACAAGTAAAAAGCAAAGAAAAAAACCCTAGTTTAGTGGGAAATAGACAGCAGTCAATAATAATTGAATGGAAAAATAACTAGTTTTAATGATCTGTGATTACTTTAAAATTTACTATGTTTTTAATTAATATGAAAATGTACATACTTACAGTGTATCAAGTGGTACTTTGATACATATACACATTTTAGAATGTTAGAATCAGGGTAAACACTTCTGTCTCCTCCAGCATTTATCCTTTATGGTAAAGCATTCCTTTCTTATAGCTTTATTTTAAGAATATACAGTGCAATATTACTATCTGTAGGCATGATAATGTCCAATAGAACACCAGAACTTTTTTCAGCTGTCTTAACTGAAACTTAGTCATGAATCTTTGTATTAACAGAAAACCCTGTCAAGACAAAAAAATCTATAGATCCCAGTGTAAGATAAGGGTGACATTTCTCGGCATGGAACAAAAGGTGGACTATTCAGTAAATGATGCTGCAATAACTGATTAGCTGTGTGAAAAAAAAAAAAAAACTAGTGAAATTGTCGCCCTACTTCACAAGCTACAAAAAGATTTTATTTAATATTTTTGCATGGATTGTAAAAAAGAAAAGAGAAGGACAGGCAGTTGGCTAGTGATTAAGCCACTGACTGGGACACCCATATCCCGCATCCTCGTGATTTGAGTCACAGCTCCACTCCCAACCCCAGCTTCCTACTGATACAGCAGATTATGGCTCAAGTAGTTGGTTCCCTTCCACCCACTTGAGAGACTTAGATTGAGTTACTGGCTCCCAGCTCTTTAAATTTTTTTTAATTAAAAAAGAAAAAGAAAAGGGAATATGGAGAAAGACAGCAAAAAAGTAGTAGAAAACACTGCTTTTGTTATCTTGGCATGATAAAGAAACTCCAAAGGATCAACCAAATGCAGAAAAAGTGAAAACTTCTAGGAAAATCTATTCCACATGAGATTAAAAGTGAAATGATAATTAGGAGAAAATTTGTATGTGTAGTACATTCAAAAGATATTTCCCTAAAGTATAAGACATTTCCCTCCATGCAGTGTCTATCAAAATACATAGAAATAGATCAAAATGAACATACATCACCATGGGGTTTCACAACACAGGGATAGACAGAAGGTAAGTCTTCTAAGAGGAAAAATATTCCGACACAAAATCATCAAGTAATTAGATTTTCATTGGACTTTCTTCAGTAATAACACTGGAAGCCAGGAGATGATTAAGCATGATCTTTAAAATCCCAAGTACTAACTGTTTTCTAAAGTAGAGTACAATAGCTAGCCAAACTGTCAAGTTTAAGGCTGGAATAAATATCTACAAGCAATGTTTGAAAACGTGACCAGCATATTCCTCATATCCAACATTGTTCAGAAACCTACTGGAGGATTCACTTCAAGAAAATGAAATAAGTGAATTTTTTAACATCTTTTAATGAATGTCATTATTTAAAGATATGACACATTTTTCATTATAATTCTATTTTAAATTTATCATACTTAAAATATTTTTAAATTTTTGATTTATAGTAACTTTACATATTTGAGGTATGTTTTTGAAATTTTAATGCATGTATAGAATGTGAACTATGGAAGGTGAAAAAAACTCAATCTGAAAATACAATAGTAATTACTAGGGGCTAGGAAGGCTTGAGGGGAATAGAGAGAGGTTGGATTAATGTTACTAAATCATAGATAACAGAAATAAATTCCCAGGGCTACATAACACAGCAGGGTACCTGTAGTTCAAAATAACCTCTAATATGTTTTCTAAGTGAATGTTTTTTAATTTGTGAACTAAAAAAGGAAGTTGACATCCAGTAAATCAGTGCTTTCTCACAAGAGAGATGATTGTAATACTGAGGATGAGAGTGAAACAATATCTAAAAATAATTGCTGCAGTAAGACCTGGAAAGAGCTAGTCCAAATTGTAAATTGTCAGATTTCCTGAAAGTAATTCTATAGAGTAGCTAAGATATTTAATTTTATGGACAAGATAAAAGCCAGAAGAGAGTAAGGATTTGAATTAGTAATACAGACAATAAAATGTAAACAAATGATTTTTAAAATGACATTATTAAGTATGAGGAAAAAGAAGATACATCCAAAAAATCAGAAGCAATAAACAATAAAACATAATAATAATTGTATAAATATTAATATTGGGAGAATGAGATGACAGATATTGTCAAATATGTAATAGGAGTGGGAAGGTAGAAAAAATCAAAAGTGGAAATCAATAATTATCTCTAGCACTGTGAAAGAGGAAAATGTTTAGAGTGTTTAGAATAATGAGACAAATGTAATAAAGTACAAAATAAATCTGATAAAATTGTTGAAACTTTTGAAAGCATTGACTTTTAGAAGACAAGAAGTTGTAAGAACAGATAGAAGTCAGTTATTTATCCTGATAGCAAATCTTATAAAACAGTTTGGTTCTTTATGTGGGTATGTGATAAGAGAAACCCAGAAAAGTTTAAAAAGAGACAAGAGGTCTCTACAAGCTGGGGTCTAAAATGGAATCATAAGACTAATGAGAAAGTCTGGAACAAGATAGAAAATAAATTGACTTAGCAAATAAATAGAATTCACACCTAAGAAAATGGAGATGATTTGATGAGCTAATAACATAGAAATAAATGTATTTAGCATTCAGAGGAAAATTATTACATTTAATTAAAAGTACAAAGACAAGAAGACTATGAAGTAAAGCAAGCATACTTTTTTTTTAAAAAAAAATTATCTATTTATTTGAAAGGCAGAGTTACAGAGAGAGAAGGAGAGACAGAGAAAGATCTTCGACTCGATGGTTTACTCCCCAAAGGCTGCAACAGCCAGGACTAGGCCAGGCTGAAGATAAGAGCCAGGAGCTTCCTCCAAGTCTCCTACATGGGTAGCAGGGGCCCAAGCGCTTGGGCTATTCTCCACTGCCTTCCCAGGCACATTAGTAGGGAGCTGGAACAGAAGTGGAGCAGTGGGGACTCAAAGCAGGACCCATATGGAATGCCAACACTGCAGGTAGCCCCCTACTTAACCTGCTGTGCCATAGTACTGGCCCCAACATACATTTTTTTTTTTTGAATGATATCATCAATTAGCTTTATTTAATAGAAAATAAATTTTAGCAGAATTAAAAAAAAAATCCAACATACATTTTTTTAAGAAAATAAATTGCAGAATGAAAAGTATGATTTAGTTTACTGAACAAAGCTGAGATAGAACTAATAAAAAAAAATAAAGCATTTCCCTAGGAAACCTCCAAGAACGTAACCTATTTAAACAAAATTTTTTTAGATATAGAGGAGAACTCAAGGTGTAGGAAAAATAAAGTGAAAAGTGCCAACTTATTCTAATGGGAGCTAAAGATTGAGTGAAGAGACAATTGAGACAGTTTGGTAGAAAAAAATAGCAGTGGCTGAATGATTTAAGAAAAACAAGAAGTTAAAGAAATGGAAAAAGCACACTGGGAGGTACACTGAAGGATACATAGAAACCAAACAAGGTAAAGAAATGGGATTGTAGGACATCAACTAAAGGAGGGAGGGAAGGAAGGAGGGAGGGAATCACCTAGCAAGCAAAGTGAAAAGTGAACAGCTTTTAATTTCTCAGGCATTCCAAAAATATCTTTTTTTTTTTTTTTTTTTGACAGGCAGAGTGGATAGTGAGAGAGAGAGAGAAAGTCTTCCTTTTTGCCGTTGGTTCACCCTCCAATGGCCGTCGTGGCCGACGCGCTGCAGCCAGCGCACTGCACTGATCCGAAGCCAGGAGCCAGGTGCTTCTCCTGGTCTCCCATGGGGTGCAGGGCCCAAGCACTTGGGCCATCCTCCACTGCACTCCCTGGCCATAGCAGAGAGCTGGCCTGGAAGATGGGCAACTGAGACAGAATCTGGCGCCCCGACCAGGACTAGAACCCGGTGTGCTGGCACCACAGGCGGAGGATTAGCCTATTGAGCCGTGGCGCCAGCCCCAAAAATATCTTTAAAGAAATAATTTTCAACTAAAAAAAGAACTGTCAACCCCAGATCTACCTTGAGACAGGCTTCCATTTTAAAGGGTAGATAAAACATAGGCACATTCATTCACGCAGAGATTCATAAAGTTTCGTCTCTACTGCTCTTCACTAAAAATGTATTTCAGCAAGAATAAACCTGAAAGAGAAGAAAATGGAACAAGAGGAATGAATAGCAAATCAAATTGATTAATTTATAAAAGTAATTAATACTGATAGCTATATTATTATTTAAGAAATAAAAATTAAAAACTTGAGAAAATGTGGAGACTTTGGCTGCATCATTGGTGAACTAGGTCATGTGTACCAAACCCACCCTGAAGACAGCTAGCATGTTAAATGTTTGCTTGGAGGCCAGCTTCCTTGGAATAGGGCTGCCTGGGTGGTGGTCCAAGTCTTCAGAACCACTCTTCCCCTGAAGGCATTTTCTGATTGCTGTTTCCTTGTGGACAGGTTGAGAAACCGAGTTGTGCCTTTTCATCTTGTGAGTTAAAAGGCTAGGAATTTGAAGGAGAGTGTGTTCTCCAGTTGGATCTACTTGAAGTTGCTATGCCCCTGTGGGAGTTAAGATCCTAGTCACCTAATTTCTTGGTGTTGTTTAAAGTGATCTGGGCCTACAGATGCAGTACAGAAGCAAATATAAATCCTTCCTAATAGAAATTATAATATCCTGGGTATCAAGTTTTTTTTAATTAATATTATAAATTGAGCATCTTTTCCTTTGATTATTGTACATAGTTAATGCCTATTTTCCTGCTGGACCATGGTCTTTTGGGTTGTTGAACTCTTGATTTAGTGAAGTCAGTGAGCCTTTGACTATAATGTAAATTAAAAATGTCATTTCAAAAAATAATGAAGTATGTAAACATATAAATATAAAAAACACAGAATGAAGGGGAATTATAAATAAGAAGTTGAAGACAGGAAAAGAGGATATAAGACAAAAGCCACATTTAAAAATATAATGGTTGAAAATTTTCAAAACTAGAAAATAAGTATCAAGCCACACTTTATATTTTTTAAAGATTTATTTATTTATTTGAAAGTCAGACTTACTCAGAGATAGAAGGAGAGGTCTTCCATTTGCTGGTTCACTCCCCAGTTGGCTGTGACAACTGGAGCTGTGCAGATCTGAAATCAGGAGCCAGAAGCTTCCTCTGGGTCTCCCACATGAGTGCAGAGGCCCAAGGACTTGGGCCATCTTCCGCTGCCTTTCCAGGCCATGGCAGAGAGCTGGATTGGAAGTGAAGCAGCCGGGACTAGAACTGGCGCCCATAGATGCCGGCACTGCTGGTGACAGCTTTACCCGCTGTGCCATAGTACTGACCCCTCAAGCCATACTTTCAAAAGCTCCTATAAACTCCATGTGGAAAAAAAAAAAGCCATCAGTATTACAAATAATAATATCACAATGAAATTGGATTTTTCCATGAATGTGTGGTTTGTTTAATACTTGAAAGTCAATGCAATTAGTCACATTAATAAAGAAAAATATTAACATTTGGAGAAAAAATATATGATAAAATTCAGTATTAATTTTTAAAAATCTTTCAGCAAATTAATTTAATGGTACTTAGTTAACCTAATAAAGTTTCCACAAAACATATGTGTCTATGTGTGCAAGTGCACTAAATTGGCCAAAAATTTAAAAATATTTTACTAACAGAAGGTCAAAGGCTTTCTGAAATGTGCATCTTTGTACAATTTTGTTAAAAGTTTAAAGCAGTGGAAGAAGCCACCAGGAATGACTGCATTCCGTATCAGAGTGCCTGGCTCCACTTTCGGTTCCAGCTTCCTGCCGATGCTCACCCTGGGAGGCAGCAAGTGATGGCTCATGTACTCAGGTCCCTGCCACCCACATGGCAGACCCATATTGAGTTCTTTTATCTTTAAAAAAATTTATTTATATAAGGTGAACAAATTTCATGTATTTTATATATACAGATTTAGGGCCATAGTCATACTTACCCCACACACACCACCCTCCCCACTGCCCATGGTCCGATCATCCCTCCTCCTTATTTTTTCTTTTAATTTTTGCAATGAAATATTTTTAATTTATTTTATAACCACAAGTTTAACCCTCCACTAAATAAAGAACTCAACAAATCGAGTTCTGAGTTCCTGGCTTTGGCCTGGCTTAGCCTCAGCTGTTGCAGGCATTTCAGGAATGAAATAGTGCATGCAAGATTTCTCTCTGTGTCTCCATCTCACTTTTTCTATAGCTCTGCCTTTCAAATAACATAAAAATAAATAAACACATAATATATTTTTAAAAGGAATAGAATTTTGAAAGAAAGAACAAGTTTAAACTGATGCCTTCACCCATTGGGGTAATTTAACAATATCTACTTAAAATGAAAATGTATATGAGCTATGACCAAGCAATATCATTTCTAGTTGTTTATAACCTCAAGGCACTCTTGACAGTCTGAGCAGCATTCTTTGTAATGATACCAGGTAGGGAGTTGAAAATTAAATGTTAAAAAAGGGTATTTTCACACAGTAGACTATCATAGAGCAATTGAAGAGAATGAACTAGACCTCTATGCATAACATTGGATGGATATCTTAAGAAAATGTTGAGGGAAGAAAGCAAATTACTAAATAGTATCACTTATACAAGTGCTTAAAATTTGGAAATACGTTTGAAATGGACAATTGTAAAAAAATAACTGATCAAAAATGAGGAGAAACAGAAGAGGAAAACCTGAACAGAACTGCAGCCATTAATAATTTACATACTACCCATTAAAAAGGAAGCCAAATAGATGCACATGGATTTACAGATGAATTCTGACAAGTATCAATGTGAGAGGCATGAAAATTCTAAATATTTTCAAGAAGTAAAAAGGAAGACAGTTGGCATTAATTATAGCATAGCGGGTTAAGCTGCCACCTATAATGCTGGCATCTCATATGGGCACCTTTTGGTGTTCCTACTGCTCAGTTTCAATATAGGTCCTGACTGATGGCCTGGGAAAGCAGCAGAGGATGCCCAAGTACTGGGGCCCCTACATCCTCTTGAGAAACCTGGAAGAAGCTCCTGGCTTCACACTGGCTCAGCCCCACCAGGGAATGAACCAGCAAATGAAAGATCTCTTTCTCTCTCCCTCTCTGTAGCTCTACCTTTCAAATATGTATTTTTAAAAGATTTATTTATTCATTTGAAAGGCAGAGGTACAGAGAGAAGGAGAGGCAGAGACCGAGAGAGAGGTCTTCTATCCGCTGGTTCACTCCCCAAATGGCCACAATGGTTGGAGCTATGCTGATCTGAAGCCAGGAGCCAGGAATGGAAAAATTAGACATATTGCTAATACTAATCTTAGTGGATGTGGGAAATTAGAAGATAGATATTTCTGATGATGGTGCAAACTGATAACAACCTCTCTGAATGATAATTGGCAATATGCATGGAATATTTGAATGTCTGTACAATTAATCTGAAAATTATACACCTGGGAAGTTAATGCTCAATAAATAATCAGTGAAATTTGGTAAGAATCCTTACAAAACTACTCACGCTACTCAATATTAGCAGCAATGTAAGTGATCTATATTACCACTAGCAAGGGACTTGTTAAATAAGTAGTGACATGTCCATGTCAGTGGTCCATATTGTCAATAAAAAAAGTGTGGAAATTGAAATTTAGAGATAACTGTATTTGGGGGCTGGCATTGTGACTCAGAGAGTTAAGCCACCATTTGGGGGAGTAAACTAGCAGGCAGAAGATCTCTCTTCCTCTCCCTCTGTCTTTCCCTCTCTCTGTCACTCTGCCTTTCAAATAAAATAAATCTTGTAAAAAGTGTATATTGCACATAGATTTTTATAATGCTTGGGTTTTATGAGATTTCTGAAGTCCATTAACGTGGGTGGATTTCAAAAAATTTGCACCAAAATATTTTTAATTGCATTTTCCATGAAGCTTTGAAGTATTTATAAAATTTCTTGGAAATCACCAAAATAGGAATGGTAGTTTCCTATACATAATTGAAAAATATATAATTACAATTTTAGTAAGTAAATATAACAAGTAAATATACTGGATGATATAAGAAATCTTATTAGAATACAAGAAATATTTAAATACTCAGCATTGTACTTAGTGATTTGTGAACTAATAAACAAATTTCCTAAGATGGATTAGTATCAGAAAAAATAAAAATGTTTCAAAGCTTGATTTTGAGTCTGGGGAATTAAGTTGGATTGGGGCATCTAAATATCAGATTTTTATCAAGATGGAGATAGTAGTTTGGAGATAATAGTTTGGAGTCTGTTATGGGCTACTGTTTTTCTTAACTTCATGCAACTGCAAAGAAGCTAAGTCATTTTCCTTCCTCTCTGCTTGCAGGTGATATACAGATTGGAATGGAGGATAAAAAAGGCCAATTAGAAGTTGAAGTTATCAGAGCACGCAGTCTCACACAAAAACCTGGTTCCAAATCTACACCTGGTAAGGAAAATATTACTGACTTTGGTCAGGAGAATATTAAAATATGCAAGACTCAAAACATTTGCTGCATTTGAATTTCATATGCTCTATTTTGCATCATCTGATTGATTTAAAAGGCAGCTTTTTTTGTTGTTCATTTAAATTTTAAAAATAGATCCGGGTTTTCCTTATACAATTATCCTTTCAAAAGATAATAGGAAGGGTATTGTTACATTTTTAAAAGTTTAGTTATGATTGTTGCTTAGCTTGTGTCAATTTTTTTCTGAACATTTACAAATATAAAAGAAAAAAGAATTTAGTTGTATTATAAAAAAGAACCAGTGTGTTTTAAGACATAAATCGGCATTGTAAGGCTAGCTAAAACCCAATTTAAGTGAAATCTTAAGATAGCTTTATATGCATTTACTTTAAATGAGGAAAATGACAGTAATGATAGCACTAGATTTTAGGGCATAGATTTTGTGGATCAATGGAAGATTTAAATTATTTAAATAATCTATGGAAAACTTCCAAAAAGTATCTCTGATTCTCTTGGAAGACATTCTCTAAAAAAATCAGTTGAATTTGAGAATTAACTTCTTGCATGTTAATATACTTTGTCCAGCTCCATATGTGAAAGTATATCTTCTGGAAAATGGGGCCTGTATAGCCAAGAAGAAGACAAGAATTGCACGAAAAACCCTTGATCCTCTGTATCAGCAGTCCCTGGTCTTTGATGAAAGTCCACAGGGCAAAGTTCTTCAGGTCAGTAATAATTGGTTCAGCTTTATACATTGTAATATCTATATTATCCATATAAGCATTGACAGAGTGGTCAAACTGAAAGAATAAAATTCAGTAAAAAAATAAATGTAGTGTTCATATCCTTGATCAGAAAAAAAAATGTGAGTTAATTTACAGTACAATTAATGGTATATTATTAAAGGTATCTGAGGGGCCAGGCTGTAGGCATTTGGCCTAGTGGTTAAGATTCCTGCTCCCCATATTGAAGTGCCTGAGTTTGATTCCTCTTGATTCCACCTTCCTAATAATGCGACTCTGAGAGGCAGCAGGGATGTCTCAAGTAGTTGGGTACATACCACACATAAGGGAGACCTAGATTTGGTTCCCTGCTCTTGGCTTCAGCCTGACCCAGCCCTGGTCATTTCAGGCATTTGAGGGAGGAAATTAAGCATGGGAACATTTTAAAAAATATTTTTATTAATATAAAGAGAACAGATTTTGTGCATTACTTAGGTACACTTCCAAGAAGACAACCACATTTACCTCACTCTTCTGCTTCCCCTCCCCATCCTCCCTCCTCATCAGTTTTGCAAAGCCACAATTTTAATCCACTCTGTATTCTTAATTTGCCACTAATCATGATATTCAACAAGTAAAGTTGGAAGACCATAGTTCCACTGGAGTGCAAATAGAGGCTAAAGTGACAATCACATCCCAAAATGATCATTTCATTCCTATACATTTTTTGGTATTCTATATTGCTGCCGCATATCAGAGAAAACATATGATACTTGTCTTTTTGAGACTGGCTAATTTCACTAAGCATAATGTGGGAGAATTGTAATAGAAGAGTTGTCTGACTCCAACAGGATTTGACCCACATTGTGGTAATTGTTGCTGAATTCATTGATGCATTAATCACCTAATCAAATCAGAATCAGCAGTCAAGTCTTCAAGAGTTACATCTTACAATTGGTTTTCTAACTACTCATTCACCACCAGCAAGTTTAAAATACAAGGGGCATAAAATGAATACACTGATTCCTTGTACATCCATCATACACCAACTCCTTGGAGTTGGACTGTTTATTTTGCCCACCTGGGTTGCATTCATACTAATTTTTGTACTCAGCATCACCCTTCCCATTCATTGTGCAACTAAAAAATAGTTACACAAGAAAGGTGCTGCATTTATATATGAATGAACTTACAGATTTTTTTTCTTTCTTATCTTATGTAGATAATGCCCCTCATTGGCTAAGAAAACACTGCTCCTATTCCACCAGATCTAAAAGTTACTATGAAGTGGCTCTGAGCAGCTTAAATGTCAGAGATTCTTTTTAACCCATGCCCCTTTTTCCATGTTATATTCATTTCCTGTCCTTCACTTGGCTTTCCCACTAGTACAGAATAATTGCTTTAAATCTTTTGAATGTGAAAGAGAGAAGTTCAAGTTATGTTTCATTTTTCTGTCTTTGCAGGTGATTGTCTGGGGGGACTATGGCAGAATGGACCATAAATGCTTTATGGGAGTGGCACAAATCTTGCTGGAAGAACTCGATCTGTCCAGCATGGTAATCGGATGGTACAAATTGTTTCCCCCGTCATCCCTGGTGGATCCCACACTCACTCCCCTAACCCGCCGGGCTTCCCAGTCATCTCTGGAAAGTTCAACTGGGCCTCCCTGCATCCGATCATAGTGAACTCATACCACATCCATTCCAATAAAACTCTACCTTTCAGGCTAAGAATCTGAACCAGATATTTCGTGGTCAAAAGCATTGTTGGAGACAGACAATCAACTTGTGTTTTGCCTGTAGTAGTTTTTCAGTGTGTCCCAATTGTTTAAAACATGGCTTCATATGACAGAACAAAGCAATCTATCCAGTTACAGGAACAATCCACATGCTAGTGAGAGTCACTGATGCTTCTAACAAATAGAAAAGAGGAAACTTCAAATTCACACACACACACACACACACACACCCCAAATTGAACAAACTGGAAACTCTCACTCTGTGAAAAGTAGCGTTTTACATGTTTCGGCAAAGACCAGAAGCAGTGTTACTTCTTTTTTGTGTTTTGTTTGTGTGTTCTTTGTTGCGTTTAGGCTTCTTGAGTTTCTGACTTTGTTTTCACCGTATCTGTTCTTCCCACTAGATTTTTGGCTGTGTCATAGCAGGCCTCCTGATGCCAACAGAGACCCTTCCTTTCTTTTTCCAAAAGCATCCAAAAAAGGGCTGAAGCAGTCTCTGTGGCATCCCCCACCAAGCACTCAACAGCTAGCCAAGAGAGGCCAGTGACAGTTTTCAGTGGCTTTCATTTTACAGTTCTTCAAAGTCTTGTGTTTGAAAACCCAAAAGACCAAAAGTTACCTTCTACAATTAATCACCAAATCACTTCTTTTAATATATCCAGAGCATCTTTTTGCATTCCAGAATATTAATTTTATGTTTTCCACCATTTTGCATGGAAGACTTTTCAGTCCATCTGCAACTAATGCTGGGGACTAAAACATACCACATGATTATACTCTGGAAACACTCTTTGTAATGCCTTTTTCTTCCTGATATCAAAAGAAAGTATGCTCATGTGTATAAACCATACATTTGACTTCCCAAAATGGTGACTAGGAATGGATTTGAGCCTAAGACACTTTCAGCTACGCCCAGGCTTCTCGGCCATGCCTCAGTGTAGACCCACCCATCTGCCCTGGAAAGAGCATGGTATGAGCTGTTCAGTATTCCACTGGAAATTCCAGTTGAAATATTCTGCACTAAACTAATGTTTTTATCGAATTTTAGTTTACATTTCTTTGAGACTGATGCAAGCACAAAGCTTGATTTTTTAATGCAAAGTATCTTTTTTGGGGGGGAGGGGAATAAAACAAAGTCACACTTCAATTTGCATTTCTTCATTTAAGTTCTCCTTGGCCTTGAATTTCCCTCGTGACATTCTGTACATGTGCTACAAACTGCAGACTCTGCAGGTGCATTGATATGTTCTCCCTCCTTTTATGAGTCATTCAACTTTTGTGATTACACAAATAGAGCAGCATGACTTGAACTGTTCAAAGCTGCATGCACATTTTGTAAAAAAAAAAAAAAAAAAGGAAAAGAAAATAAACAAAAGGTTATTTAATAATGTATGTTAGTTTCACATAGGCCAGCTTGTATGTTGCATGTAATTGTACAGTTTGCTCGTTAATTACTATACTGAAATAACCAAGAAATCTAAGCCATCCATTTTTGTTATAGACATTTTGCAGGTTTTAGCCAGACTCAGTCTGCGGGTCTGCGGTGAAATGTCTATAGATGGACTTTATTTTTTACCCTCTGGAAAAACGTGATGTAGTACGGACCAAATTCCTTCTAATAAATATTTTGGTGTAGATTCCTACTGTGGGGCTGTAACACATGTAGACACTGTGTACACACTAGGTTTTAATCCATAGACATACTGCCTGCACCAAGTGAATTATTTATTATTATTTACACATGCCAGAATTACCTGCCCATCATTCCACAGGGCACAGATTGACCACTGCTCACCATGCCGAGCAGGAAGACCTGAAGCATTGGTGCACTTCTACTAGATTCCGTTCTGTCTTAGTGGCCAACAATTAACTGATTATAATTGGGTAGTATCTTTCTATTTTGACCACTTGTCTTAACACTCCCCTGTGCTTTTAAATGAACTTCCAACTCATGTATGTAAACATGTTTAATAAAATTTACTTTTCATGTCAGTAGCCATCTGTGTTCTATGTTTTGCCAGATTTATCATTGTGGGTTCTATGGTGCAAAATGGGAGCCAAATTATGGGAAGGGGAGGCTGGGAATTGTTGTCAGCTCTGGGCATTTGACTTGACTTGTCATTGCACTATATATGTCTTAATCTACAGCCCAAAGGCTTCTTTGGATCACATGTGAGTTTTCACTGTGTCAGCCTGTCTAAGTGAGCACATGACTCTACTTCTGAAAAGTGGCATTATTAAAGACAATAAATCTCAGTAAGCATCAAATGGAAGACTGTTTTTCTGCTGCTTTTTGTGCTAATAGGAGAGACAACTCTTGTCCAATTACCAAAACCTTTCAAGTTATGTGATGTATCAAAATGATTCTGTGCCTCCCATCGTAGTACCCAGGTTCCTCTTTCCATCTTTTCCTTCTGAACCCTTGGCAAGTTTGTAGAACTTTGGCTTGGAGTAGGTGAAGTTACCAAAAAATAAATGATCCATTAATCCTAAATCATTTTCAGTCAAATATTAAGGAATAAACACATCTCCAAATATATATAGGTAAGCTGCTAAAAGAGAGATTATTTGTTTTCTTAACTTCATTTTGCTTTTTTTTTCTTCTTGATGAGTGTATTTGTATATTTTACAGTCATCACCCTTTGTAGAACACATGGCAAGCACTACTTTCACATCGGATTATGGTAAAATAACTGCTAAGACCTAGTTTCAACCTCCTAAGAGCTCCCAACTTTTTATAGGCCTCACTGACTTTAACTTTGTGAAGCAGTATAAACACAGCTAAGTCGATATCAAATTTGAGACAATTAAACAGTTTGGCACATGACACCTGCAGTTGTTTATAGTTTTAAAAACAGCTGACTGAATTTTACCCTATTAAGTCATCCAGTTGTTTGGTCTACAAGACACAAGATTATCTGTCAGGCTGTGTTGGTTACAGGCAAAAACAACTGATCAGTGGAGTTTAAAACAAACTGTCAGAGTAAAGCCGTTTAATGCACATGCATTTAAGATAGCATGCAACGGGGGAGCAGGAGACAAGTTGCCACTGAAATGGGAGGTAACTGGAGACAGCTGTAGAATTCCTTGTCTAGACAGGAACAGAAAAGCGGTAATCTCTTCAAATCAGAGACAGCTACATATTAGGATTTCTGGGCCCACAAAAATCGAGAAGTAACTGAAGCCAAAGCGGTTTTGCCAAGTCTTCATGGTTTCTTATTGACCCTGACAACATTTCTTCCATCCCAGTCTGACACAGATGATCTGGCTTTATGTAACCAGCTTCGTTAAGGGCTTTTGAAAGTATAGATATTAAGAACTTGGAATACAAACCTTAGAGCAACTCCCTGTCCATTAGAAACATTATATAAGACTATTATGATTGCAAATACTCTGTATGCAAAAGGCAACAGGTTTAATTCTTACAACAGTCCTGGGAGGTAAGTACCTTTATAGCCCTGTTTTCCAGGAAAGGATCTTCAGTTTGGAGAAGCTAAGCAGCAGCAAAAGGCCCCACAACTGTCTGGTAAAGGATCTAATATGTAAAGCAAGCTCTGACCAATTCAGGATCCTGCACTGCTAAACAGTGCACCCTCAAGGAGCTGCTGACAGCTCAGCTAGGTATTAAAGAATTAAGAGTCCACCAGTAGCAAAGGACTTGAAGCCAAGCTACCCTACCACACTGAGGCAGCTCCTGGCCAGCTTGGTCTCCTACATGTTGCCTGAGTGACTGCCATTACCCCCAGGTATAGGAGAAATAGGGGAAGAAGCAGGTGTACTCTTCATTCCCTAACCTTTATAAGGCCCTCGTCTAACTTTCTCCTCTGTGTCCCCTTATTGTACACACTATTTGCATTACCTAATGAATACCTCACATGAAGCTCTTAGAAATTCTATCCAATAAGGGAACAGAAGAAAGTTTTCTTTAGCTAAGTCTCAGACTTTTCCTTTGGCCTTTAAGTTACAAATCAAGTACTCCTTGCTTATTCCTTGTCCCCAGTTCCAAGATAGCAATGCCCCTCAATTTTTCATCTTGGGGTTGAATTGACCCAACAGGAATCACAGCTTCATAGAGCTTTTGGTATTCCATATGCCCTTCAACTTACGTGGTTCCAAATAGTTTCCATGAGTCACATCTGTGTGCAGGACTGCTCAGAGCAGCTCAGAAATCATCAGTCCCTTGCACAACTCCCACATCATACTTCCACTCTGAGACCTTGGCTACCTCCCAAGAGGAGGCAACATGTGTAAGTCTTTACATCTAACTATAAATCATCATAGCCATAAAACAACCACATTCTTATGAAGTGGTGTTATGCAAGTTCTCAATTCATAATATGGAACAAAGTCATTTTGTATGTGTGTGTGTTCTTCAGTCACTGTGTTCAATTACAGGTGAAATTTTTATTATGTTCCAAAAGGGTAACTGCTCCCCCATGCCTGCCACATCACACACACACACACACACACACAGTGTATCTGTATGTGTAATGAACTCTGGTAAATTTCTGGTAGTCTGAATCACTTGTGCTAAAAGAAATCTTCCTAATTATGCAGAGCTTCCAGTTTATTCTCCTTCCTGTCGCTCCCCCTCTTCGTGGAGGAGCAACACTGAACCCTGCCTAGGCTTCATATCCGAGTCACGGCACCATTATGTCGCTCCCCCTCTTCGTGGAGGAGCAACACTAAGCCCTGCCTAGGCTTCATATCCGAGTCACGGCACCATTATGTCGCTCCCCCTCTTCGTGGAGGAACGACACAGGACCCTGCGCTGTTCTTTCTGTCTGCTCGGCCCTCCCCAGGTTTGCTGCTGGTTCTTCCCGGGTTGGCTACTATCCCTTCCACCTCCGTGGAAGGGCAGTTCCCCCTGGCCACATTCCCCACTTCCGCAGGGGAGCGGCACACCGCCGGCCGGCTTTCTCGGGGGCTGCACAGGTGTTCCTTCAGCTAGATGTTCCCCTTAGATGTTCCCGGTGCATGCCATCTCTCTCCTCCTTTATAGTCCTCCTCTGCCAATCCCAACTCGGCTGCCCACACGCCGAGTACGCTGCTCTCCAATCAGGAGCAAGTCCTACAGTTTATTGGTTGAACTGGAGGCAGCTGTGCGGAAGCTGTTTACTTCTCTCCCAGCGCCATATTGTGGGAGAGCAGATGCATAGAATAAGTCTTAATTCCAGTAACTCAGTCTAGTCCGGTTTGCTCCCCACAGATCCCCCTTTCTTTTTATTTTTGGCGTTGATACGCGCCTGTCTTCGGTGTCCCGCGGCACACACTCTGCTCTACTTGCTAGAGTTGCCACAGGTTCTTACAAGTCCTATCAATCAGGCAAACCGAATCCGGGTCCTCTCTTCGCCATGTTGTGAGGAGGTTTTTAGGTGCTGATGCGTGCCTGTGTTCGGTGACCTGCGGCTCACACTCTGGTCGAGCCGCCTGCTGGCGCTTACCGCCTTAATCAGGCAGACCGAATCCAAGCTTTCTCATTGCCGTATTGTGGGGGAGACTTATTAGTGTTGGTTCGTGCCTATCTTCGGTGACCTGCAGCTCATACTCTGGTCGAGCTGCTTGCTGGTGCTTACCGCCTTAATCAGGCAGACCGAATCCAAGCCTCCTAATTGTTGTATTGTGGGGAAGCCTTACTGATGTTAATTCGTGCCTGTCTTCGGTGACCTGCGGCGCATAAGCTGCTAGCCGCCGCAGGTGCTCATCGCCTCACTTAATCAGGCAGACCGAATCCAAGCTCTCACATTGCTGTGTTGTGGGGAGGTCTTTCTCTTTCTCTATTTCTCTATCTCCGGGCATTCCTATTTCTCCCATTTTACTTCTATCTTCCAGCATTCCTATTTCTCTTTTACTTCTAAACTTCTGTTTCTCTTATCCCTGCGGCTTTCCGGCGCCTCGCCCCGCCGGCGGGTTCCCGGCTCTGCGCCGCTTCAGCCCGCGCCTCTCTCATCTGCGCGGCTCGGCTTTGCGCGCACACCCCGCGGTCTCGCACTTAACCCTTTCGCGTCTGAACCACGGCCTCGCGCCAGCCCCGCGTTCCCTATGTACTTGAGCCCCGCACGCTCTGTCTGCGCGCGGCAGCCTCCACGAGTCACACAGCGTAGCTTACGTGTCCGCCACTAGCATTCAATCTAAGTTCCCCGGGCTAGCCTGGCGAATTCAACCCAGCTTACGTCTCCGCCCCACGGTTTGGCTTCCCGTCCTTTGCTCCCCGGGCTAATCAGATGGATCCCAACCAGGCTTACGTTTCAGCTTCTGGTTTCAACTTTTCGCCCCCTATTCCCGGGCTAACTTGAGAATCCCAAAGTGGCTTTCGTTTCAGCCTCGGCCTGCCCCCCGTGGCTTCAATTTCCCTAACATTTTTCTCTACCCGGTATGTTTCCCCAAGCTTTCCTCCAACAATACTCCTCCCTCATTTCTCCTGGCCTCTCCCCACAGTCCGCATCCGAGTCTGTTTGTTCTAGCTTTCACTTTCGCTTTCGACCTTAGAGATTTCTCCCAGCTTCCCCCCGTAGTCCGTATCTGAGTCTATGCCTAGGCTTTCCATAGCTTCTTCCGGCACCTTTTTCGTCCGGCTTTTCCCTAGGCTGTTTGCTAGTCTCTCTCTCCGGTAATTTCCCTAGGCTGTTTGCTAGTCTCTCTCTCCGATATTTTCCCAGTTCTTCCCGTTTCTTCCCTCCTAAGTTTGCTATCCGTCCTAGGTTTCCTATCCGAGTCACGGCACCATTATGTCGCTCCCCCTCTTCGTGGAGGAGCAACACTGAACCCTGCCTAGGCTTCATATCCGAGTCACGGCACCATTATGTCGCTCCCCCTCTTCGTGGAGGAGCAACACTAAGCCCTGCCTAGGCTTCATATCCGAGTCACGGCACCATTATGTCGCTCCCCCTCTTCGTGGAGGAATGACACAGGACCCTGCGCTGTTCTTTCTGTCTGCTCGGCCCTCCCCAGGTTTGCTGCTGGTTCTTCCCGGGTTGGCTACTATCCCTTCCACC